GGTTTTAGTTTCATTATATTTTGGATTAAAAAGTTCAACAAGTTATGTTTATTCCAAGAATGATGAGAATATTAATCTTCCAATTGTTCAATTAGAAAAAAAGTTGATAAGCAATTTAGAGAAAGTTGAAGCTGGTCTTGTTAGAGTAAGAGTTGCTATAAAAGAAGCTCAAAGTAAAAATCAAACATTTGATGATCCTGAATATGTTCCTACCGGTCCAATTTATTGGAATCCCACTGCTTTTCACAGGTATGTTTAGTTAACTTTTTAAAGATTTGAACTTTAAGTGTACACTCTCTCCGTCCCAATTTATGTGACACTGAATTTGACTTGATGCTACTAAAAAGCATCACTATTTCAGTGGTTATCAACATAGATATTTAGATTGAATCGGTGGGAAAAGAAAAAATTAGGAAGTTTTCACTATTTCAGTGAGAATGTGTTTTCGACTGTTTAGTTTTTCAGTGAGCTGGTTCGGGAGAAAATCATGTTATATCGCACAATTTTTTCACTAATTTGTGATGGGAATAACCTTCATTTCATTTCTAGTAGTGTGATCCTTGAAACTAAATTTGATTACATAATCAATATCTTTATTTAGTTTAATTTTTGAAGATTTGAACTTTTTTTTGTCTATAGAATTGAATGGAGCAAAGATTCTTGATTATTTCTTTTTTTTACTATGGAGTTAAGATTCTTGAACTTTTAATTCTCTCTGTCCCAATTTATGTGACATCAGATTTGACTGACGCTACTAAAAAGTCATTATTTCCCCATTGAAATTTACTCTGAAAAATGTTTAGTAGCTATCCCCACAGTTATTTAGATTGAATCGGTGGGAAAAGAATTAGGAAGTTTTCCACTATTTCAGTGAGAATTTGTTTTCGACTGTTTATTTTTCCAGTGAGCTAGTTTGGTGGGAAATGAATCATGTTCTGTAGCACAAAATTTCCACTGATTTGTGATAGGAAAAACCTTCAAGTAGTGTGATCTTTGAAACTAAATTTGATTAAATCATCAATAAGAAGAATTTTGAAAACTATACAAATAGTACTATAGATTGCTATTTTCCTCATGTCAATATGATGAAAAACTAGAAGTTCACATTGTTTGAATCTCGAGAAGTGAAAACCAAAGATTGTCACATAAATTAGATGGAGGGAGTAGAATGAACTGCAACAAAAGATTGTATTGAGCTTTTGACAATGGAATTAAAGATTCTTTACTTGACGCATTATTGCAGAAGCTACATGGAAATGGAGAAACATTTCAAGATTTACGTATACGAAGAAGGTGAGCCCCCTGTATTTCACTATAGTGCTAGTGAAGGAATCCTTGGAATTGAAGGAATTCTGATTCATCACATAGAGATTAGTAAGTTTCGGACGAATGATCCTGAGAAAGCTCACGTTTACTTTCTCCCGTTCAGTGTCTTATCGATTGTCAGCTATGTTTATGTTGTCGATTCTCGGTCATGGGGTCCTATGCAGAATACAGCAGCAGATTACATTGATGGTATATCAAGAAAATACCCTTATTGGAACAGAAGCCTTGGAGCTGATCACTTCATGCTTGCTTGCCATGATTGGGTAAGTAATCAGAATAGAGACGGATTCAGAATGTAAACTTGATGTGTTCAATCTTAAGTTCTTACCGTTGAGACTATAGCACATTATACTTTTGAAATCTGATAAGAATTTAATATTTGTTGGAACTTTAGTAATTTTTCACATATATGTTAACATTTGTCAAAAATAAACTGAAATGACTGTTAAGAGAATAGTGTAAATGGGGTAAGAATCAGGGCGGATTGAAAATTTTAGGTATAAAGGATTACTGTAGGAGTCCATAAACTTCAAATCCTGGATTTGCTTCTGCTAAGAATCGTAACTCATGATATCTTGTTATGCAAAATTTTGTTATAAGGTTGTTTTGTTTTGATGTCTATGGGAGAGACACTTCTTCTTATGTAATTGTCATATTGCAGGCTCCTACGATTTCCTTTGCGGTTCCTTACTTGTATAAGAACTCGATACGAGTACTATGCAATGCAAATACCTCCGAAAGATTTGATCCTACCAAGGATGTATCCTTGCCAGAAATCTATCTCCCTCAAGGTAAGATGGACGGCTTAATTGGAGGTCCGTCTCCATCTCATCGTTCTGTTTTAGTTTTCTACGCGGGAGGAATCCATGGCTACATAAGGCAAGTGCTAATGGAGCAGTGGGGAAAGAACGATGATTCGGATGTGCAAATTCACGAGTACCTTCCGAAGAACATGTCGTACTATGGGATGATTAGAAAGAGCAAGTTCTGTATTTGCCCGAGTGGTTATGAAGTGGCTAGCCCGAGAATGGTTGAGGCACTTTACATGGGGTGTGTACCGGTACTGTTGAAGGATCATTATGTAGCGCCTTTTAGCGATGTTTTGAACTGGAAAAGTTTTGCTGTTCAAATGAATTCGACGGATATACCTAATCTGAAGAAGATCTTGATGTCAATATCTCAAACTCAGTACATCAGAATGCAGAAAAGAGGCCTTCAAGTTAGAAGGCATTTCGAGGTAAATTTTCCTCCGAGAAGATACGATGTTTTTCATATGATTCTTCATTCCATTTGGCTTAGAAGGCTAAACATTCAAGTCCATGATACTAAGGATGGATGACTAGTACTTCACAAGAAGTATACTGTATTATTATTTGGCTATGTTGCTCGGATTCTACAAAAATATTGTTATACTCAGTGATAGATCCTTTAAATATAATGATGTGCAGAGGTATTTTTGGATGATTCGAGCAACAAAACTATTTGGTTTATGAAAGTTCGCGCATAATTCTGCATTTATGAGAACTTAATTCAGATGCAGCTAATGTGAGAATCTAAATGAGTGTAGTGTCATTTTTGGAGAATCCGAACAACATAGTTGTTTTGGTTAAAGGGCGTCGTTGCATAATTTCTGCATTTGTGAATTCCAAGATTTCTGGGAAGTAGGAGATATTAGGCTACATATACCTTAGTTCATAATTCAAATGCAGATGATATTGTAGTTCTGTATGCTAATTCTACTTCTACTCATTTGTTGTAGTAACTTCTTATTTTTTTGGTAATATGATTTATCATCGTAGACGTAAACAGTCTCTCCACCTCACAAAGATAGGGCATACATCTCACCCTCCCAAACGTACACCTCTTGTGGGATTACAGTCTCTTTTTTGTGTTTACATTTTATTCGCACAATCCTATTGAGTCATGAATATAATTGCAAAATAACGCAAAGCCAACCCTCAAAATTGAATATTACCTCAACACAAGGGTCGTTTTACTCAGATATTTCTTATCAAAGCGAGGGATTTGTTTTAGGCGAAGTCTAATCAGAAGCTATTTCCACATCTCTGTCCGGTGGTTTGAGAAAGATTTGACTCTCTTTAAGCTTATCAAATCAGAAACACATTCAAAAGGTTATCAAATCCCTCGAGATTCATTAAAATGGCACGCTATTGTTGCAAAATTGTTTGGTAGCAATTACCCATTATTTGAAATTGGAGATAATATCTCAGATGATCACTCTCAATTAAGGGTTCTTCTCGCACATATTGGTAATGGTAAATAATTTGTTATAACATGTTAAATTACATCAACCGTGTAAAAAAACTATCCCGACATTAGGGGTTAACTAGTTTTGGAAATCATTTTGTATTAAAATGATTGAAATTAATCTAGGGATAAGGCACAAGTACCCCTAGACTATGACCGAAATCCTAGAGACACACCTTAATTAAACTAAGGTTCTATTACCCTTGAACTCATTTTTTTTGTAATTTCGTACACTTTTTGGCTTATGTGGCATACTCTGTGACTCCACGCAGTTGAGGCGCGTGAGAGGTATTTGGATGCCATGTAAGTCAAAAAGGTGAACAAAATTATCAAAAAAAAGTTCATGGGATAATAGGACATTAGTTTAGTTAAGACATGTCTCTGTGATTTCGGTCATAGTCTAGGGGTACTCGTACCTTATCCCATTAATCTATATCCATAAATTTGTGTATACATAATGGCAAGAGGATCTAATATGACCAGCTTATACGCCACGGACTCTTCAATTTAGAGGCATTAAGCCAAGTCCCCAACTGGCACGTTGACTTAATATTTTGTGGGGAATAATTAGGTGTCTGATATTCATATTGAGACTTGACTAAATTCAGATTCAAAGTCCCATATTATTAGAGGTAAGGTGTTCTCTAACAAAGATGCCGTCCCGTATCGAGCATGTGTTGTTTGAATCCGACCTTTGATTGAGAATGAAAAAATAGGTATACTTAAGTTATATATTAGTGTAAGTGACTTTTACATTATCAATGGAATTTAACTGGTAATGAATCAATATTTTCCTATCACCAATTAATCACGCAATAACATTATTTTGATAATTAATTTAATGATATAATTGAGAAACCTAAACCTGTTTGAAGGAATGAAAATACATTCAGAATCTTGTGGTTTGGATAATGGAAGGGTGGAGAGGAGTCCTGGTTCTCAAGAGCAAATGTAGGTACGGGCGGATCTAGCATGAAAAGTACGAGTTCAACAGAACCTAGTAGTTTTGGGCTAAGTTGCGCGGACTCTTCACTTTCAATGCGGCACCCGCGTCGGATTCTCCAAAAAGACACTACTTTTAGCGAATCCGACACTCATCCCTTGACATTTTTGAAGAGTCCGAGCAACATAGGTTTTGGGTCAAATTCTATATATATATATTGAGAAATTCTACAAATAATTTTGAAATTACTTTTCTTTGATTCAATGATATGAAGAGACAAGAGTGTAGTGTGGAAACTCAAAAAAAAAAATATATATATATATATTACTAATAGTCTTTCTGCTGATTATTATTTAACATACGAATATATGAAGTAACCTTCAAATAGTTTTTAACTACTTTACCACAAAGACTGACTTACTAGTAATATATAAGCTTAAACTTGAATGAAGTAAACTTTTTTGCAACCATACAACACTTAAGAGATGAGATCAAAGCCCTGCTCCAGTAGATTTTGAGCTAATTTCTCATTAGCTGCTTCAGAAGGATGGAATCCGTCCCAGAAGACGTAATCTGTCGCATTAGAGCACGTCCCTATAGACCTTACATTGCAAAGGAACGACGTTTCTAGTGTACCAGTTCCACAACAAGCCCTCCTCGATTCGAAGAATCCTGCAGGGAATTAACAAATGCAGATTGTTAACTGAAAATGTGATACATTCTGTTGAAGTGTGTGACTATCTCATCTAAAAGCAGACCTGAATTGATCTCAGGACCTCTGCCTGCTCTAATACCATGTTGAAGTGTGTGACCATCTCATCTAAAAGCTTTAAGTTGTTATGAGAGCACACTTTTAATAGTTAATTATATTCTCTAACACATTTTCCTTTTTAATACTGAACAACGCGACAGTATATTTGATCAATATAGTCGAGATGAAAAAAGAAAATGTGTTTGAGGAAATTACCACTATCTGTAGGTTTAGTGATCATATCTAAGAGAGGCTGATAGATGTCGAAGACGACAAGTTTGAGGCCTGGAAGTCTGCTCTTCAAACTTTCTGATGTCCGGTTCAGCTTAGCGTTGAAGAAAACAGCATCTTGGTTCAATCTTGCAACACATTGATTGCTTCCTCTACCAAACAAAGTAATTGCTGCTGGCAAACAACCTGTTGGTGGCAGAGTTGTTACTCCAATCTTCCTTGCTCCCATACCATAAAGGTTCTGTTTTTCATACATTGTTGTTGATGTTAAAATATCGATAGTATTTCAATCGAAATTGAAATAGAACATGTCTTAGTTTTAGGATGATCTGATTATGCTTATGAGCATTTTCTATAGACAAGTGGTGCCTACAAATTTCATGCCAAGTGCATCAATATGTGTCGAAAACATAAGACCAGAAGTCTCAAGGATGTTTCATAGAGCCCCCAAAAAACCATATTTTGACTGAGCTTCCACAATATCAATTCTACTTGAACTGTTAGATAATCATAGTCGATAACAACATCTCACTACTACAAAACCATACATGAGATTTGATTTTAACCTCATACGTCTCCTTAGAGATCACGAATAAATTAGTAGACACGAGAAGAGGAGAGGGAAAACAATACCTGAATGAATGTAGTATAAGACTGCATAAGTATATCGGAAAATCGATCAGGTGAGTAGATCCTGTTGAGCATTGGATTAACATAGTAATTCTGAATAAAATCACTGCTTCCTGCACTTAATAGATGGATTCCTCCTGATATTATGTTATTTGCCTGTGTTCTTCCTACTAAATTCACTACTTTTGCTTGCCATTCCCTGTAATATTGTAGCTGTTGTGCCAGTGTAAGTGCACGCTGCAAATTAAACAACATACACCATTCAGAATTTCATTCAGGTTTATTCACATAAGGCCACTCAGGTTTATCAGAAGTTTGGGGTTCGAGTCCTTTAAGTAGAAAAAAAATCTCGTATAAAGTGGCACGAATCCAAATTAGTTGAGATTCCAAAGTGGATACCGAACGGAATTAATGAAAGATAAACCAAAAACAACATTTAATGATTACATTTTATTTTTACAGGGAAAATGCTCAAATATGCTATTAAACTTTGAGAAAATTAAAGACCGGCGCAACTATGTTATCCGTTAAAAGTTTGGCTCATCTATGCCATTTCTGTTTGAGAAAAGACTCATTCGAATTCAGGCTGTTATTTGTTAACTAAAATGGCATAGATGAGCGGAACTTTTAACGGATGACATAAATAGTTTTGCAAAACCGGAACTGTTTTCAGTTAACAAAAAATAGCATGGATGAATCTTTTGTCAAACAGAAATGACATAGATAAGCCAAACTTTTAACGGATAGTATAGATGAAAATTTTCTCAAAATTCAATGACATATTTGAGACTTTTCCCTATTTTATAAAAAAAAACGTTTATCCGGTGCCAAAATTTTGACATTTTGGTCATAAATATACTTTGAGCGATAAAAAAAGGTAGCTCGGTGCAAAAAAAACATTTCGTTCACAGCTAGAAAAATGATATAGACAATCTACCCTGACTCAAATGTAATATTGATTCTACTCCGAAAATCAGTTTTGTCACTTTACTAGTTATAGTGATTACAATATAATTATTATAATATAACAAAAAAATAATTTGATAATTTTATATTATAATAGCTAAAGCCTAAAGGTATCAAATTAACACAAAATTAAAAGGGCGAACAAAGAAATTACTAACATAAAGTTGAGGAGTCCTTTCATAATAACCAGAAGCAGCAGAAGCAAAGTTGACACCAGTCAGTATATTTCTCCCTCTTGCCTCTGGGCTAAGGTAAGCTGGTGGATATGTAGTGAACCCAAGATATTCAGCTGTCCATAATTAACACATGCAAACTATGAGACGATAGATACAATATTTTCGACACAAAACATAAATATACATAAAAAAATATTAAATTTTGACTCAGACTCTTCACTATATATCAATGTTGCATCCGTGTCAGATTCTTCAAAAACACATTAACATTTTTAAGTATCCTGAACAAAATAGCCTACAACTACAAGCTCATAAAATTTTGAATGTAAATTAATAAAATTTTAAATTTTGAATTCGACTCTAATGTTTACCAGTAAAGTCAGTAGCCAGCTTTCCATTGCAGAATCTTCCAGTAGGTCTATGAGTAACAAAATCTCTTCCATAAGGAAGAAAATTAGCCTTGATAAGAGTAGTTAAATTGTTATTATTTCCAACATCAACTACAGAGTCACCAAATATGTTTAATGCTGGAACTAGAGGATCTCCATTTGCCACATAAAAAAACACAACAAGAAAAAATACAATATATTTTGAGAACCTCATTTTTTTTTCAATTGAAATTGTGATTTTTTTTCTTCTTCTCTGTTTTTTGGTGGGGGGTGTTGGTGAATTTAAAGGTCAAAAAGAGAAATAACTGATGGATAGAAAGTTGATTGTTTTTCATGTGAGTATGGGGGCATGTTTGGCACCTCCTAATATTGGTATGTTGGCATTATTAGGCGAATATGTTCGCTCTGTTTTATATTACTTGAGTCATGTTGGTCTGGTGATTAGAGGTAGAGGGGTTCATTCGAACCTATTTTGATGTGAAATCACATTATTTATACATGATTAAAATTTATATATAGTAAATGTTGAATCTTATTCGGCTAGTTTATTTGTTTACTTTTACATATTTTGAACCTCTTGGTGAAAATCCTGACTCTGACATTGCTGGTGATGATCTAAGAATGTTTTAATTATAGGTGTAGTTTACTAAACTAGTCTTATTAATTAATGATGTTTTGGATTTATAAATTTGACTACTATATTATATTACGTAGTTATTTTATATTAAAAGGAAAAATCCTTTTGGCCAGAATGATAAAATAACATATTTTATATTATTTTATTTTATTTTATTTTTTTGAATATTTTGACTCTTTTAATTTTAATATTTTTTAATTAAAAAATAGAAAAAATATCAGTTTATTAAAATAAAAAGAATATTATAGACTTTTTAATTTTCTGACCATTTAGCATTATCCATATTAAAAATAGTATGAAAAAAAAAGATGACAAATCTCTCTTGATTTGCAAAAATTAATTATTTATTTTTAGTATATGGACCAACCAAAATGAAACGAAAACAAATTGTTAAAAAGCTTTGTTTCATTTTTGTCCTTTATTATGAGTTTGTTTAGAGTATGACGATTTATTTATATTTTTAATAAAGGCCTAAGATAAAGATAAACTTTTTTTTTTGAAGAAAACTGAAAGCAAAATTTGCGTGACACAGTGCAAAAATTTTGTTTAAAAACATATGACCTATTTACACTAGAAAAAAGTTTTTTGGCGGCTCAAATTTTGTTAGTTATAACTTTTATGAGTAGTGGCGGCTGGTGGGATTATTTTATTTTTAATCAAAAATTTCAGCTTCAGGTCTTGAGTATGAAGAAAATTATTTTGTTGCATCACCTCAATAGAGGTGTATCTAGAGAGGATTTCATGAGTTCACGTGAATCCATGCCCCTTCTCTTGATTATATATAGTAGTGTTATATTTTTTTAAAAATATTTAAATATAGAGTTGTGAACCCATGTTAAAAGTAGCATATAATAATAAGATGAGCATTGAGTGCACCTCTCTAAGCATAAATAGAAATGTAATTCTTATATTTATCTTATTTTTGTTAGTAACACCCCTCCAAGTGGTTATCGGTAACACTTTTGGCGTTTCAATCAATTTTTCTTTTGTTATTTTTCTTTAAACTTTCAAAATTTAAGTGTGTAACATTGGAAATTTCTAAAAAAAAAATTAGCACAGTAAACTTTTTATCATTAAATTAAATGTGTATATTAAAATTTAACACTAGTAATATTATATATGTTGGACCTATAACTTTTAAAATTTAACAGTTCAATGTTAAGAATGTAAAAGTTAAATCGATCAAATTTATATCTTAGATGCATCTTTTCGTAATAGTGCACCCATCTTCCAAAATCTTGCAGTACACAATTCAAATTTAAACGAAGCTCTAATATGGACTCAAACGAAATGAAAAAACATAATAATTTATGAATACATGAAACTACTTAGAATAAATTTATGTAAAAGAACTTAAATTTGACACACAAATACAAAATGGTAGCAATAAATACTAGAGAAATTCGAGGTAAAAGATAGATATTTGGTCAATTCATGATAGTATATATCAAGGGGGTGGAGATACGAATTATTATTATTATTTTAAAAAAAAATGTTGATTATAAAATTATCTTTGCATATCTATAGGCTACGATTTGAATTAGTTGTGGTATTAATCATTAATACTTGCATAATAAATTGTTTATATTACATTTTGTGCAGTGAATTGTCTTTTATTTTGTCTATCATATTACTAGAAATGAAATTTTGAAACAATAATAATGTTATCTTGTGTAACCTATATATCATAAATTCAAATTGTACAGTCAATCATTAATACTTGAACTAGAGTAAACTGTATGCTTGTATTAATACACTTACAAAATAAATTCAAATTGTGCAATCGATCACTAAGCACCTTTATTTTATTACTAATTTTTTCATTTTATATTATTTGACTTCGACTAATCCGACACACTCTTTAAAAAACTTAAATAGCAATATAATTTGTTAAGCTAATAATCATTTTCTGTACACTACACACCTTTATTTTGTTAAAAAAAAAATCGTTTTGTATTACTTGATCATATTAGTATGACACATTCTTTAGAAAAACATTAATTAGAAATATATTTTATTAAACTAATCATATTCCGTACACTATATGACTTTATTCTATTACTATTTTTTTTTTAATTTTAGATTACTTGATTCATGTTGATATGATATACTCTTCTAGAAAAATTAGTTAGAAATATATTTTGTTGAACTAATCATATTATGTACTTAAGCATTTATGAAGTCAATTGCATTAAATTGGGAAGAGTACCTCCCACAGCTACCTAGAAGCTAAGTATTCAGAGTATCATCACTTTCCTCTTTATTGCTACTGCAAATCTTCATCAGTCTTCAATTCTGTTACCATTAATGTGTATGGCTTGACACTTCCTATATATACTATACTCTACTATCTTCTTTTATTTGTCTTACTTTTTTTAAAAAAAATTCTCTTAGAAAAGAATGTTTCCTTCTTTTTCTAACGTAATATATAGATATATCTTCAAAATTTTCAATTAATATTTATGTTCTTTAATTTTATATGTGAATATATAGAGTTAAAAAATGTTTCACACACCAATTTACTCACAAAAAGCTCAAAACTAACAACCACGTACGATTTATAGTAATGGCAAAACACAACTTTATTTTTCACTTTTAAAACAAAAATTATTTTTTAAAATACTGGTACGAAATTTTCATAATCAATCACCCTCTTAAGATCGCGATATTTGAACATCTTCTTTAAAATAAGACAAACAAATTAAAATTCATACTTATGCTTCAACTACTTACACCAAATTGGGGAGTAATAGGTCATCGAAATTGGGGAGTATGGGGCAATATTGTTGATCGATAGTGCTAGAAGACATAGAGGAGTAGCAATATTGTATAGGAGTAGGGACTTCTTAAAATGGGTCAAAGCTCAACATCCACTTACTTCATTGAATCATACAGATGATTTCAACACATCATTTGATGGTGAGAATATTAAACGTGTTCTTAAAGTTAATCTTGATATTACTATATATTCGAGTACTACACAATTGGTTCTTACGACACAAAAAAAAAGAAGATAAAATATATTTCAGACGGTATAATGATTAATTGATAAAAGGGGTTGAGATTGAATTATGACAAATTTTATGTTTAAAAGACTTTCTATGATCTTAGCAAGAATCGAAAAATTTAGTCTTGGTATCGAAGGTTGTTCCAAGAGATTCTGTCAAGAAACAATGGGCTGAAATTTAGGCTATTCCTTGCAAATTGTGGCTTGTTCTAGTGGTAATTAACAAGATAGTTATATGAATCTCATAAACCTCAAATCATAAATCCTCTTATACATATGATGACAACATGTTGAATTATATAGTACGAGTACTATTCAAAGTAGAGACTCAGACTAGTAAACCTTTTAATATATTAATTTATCAATTATTTTTTTACTTTAAGAAAATATTAATATTTGCAGAAAAAAGAGAGAGTGCAAAATCTTTATTAAAAAAATAAGGAAAGAGATTTTTTTTCAATAATAAAAATATTTTAGACCTTGAATTAAATTATTCAAATCTTTATATTATTAGATAAAAAAAATTATGCAACAAAATCTTAGGTAATGTATTACGTACACATGACTAGTTTATTACCTTAGAAATAACTCTTATAACACTCTTACTATCAGATTCTAATCTTAAACTTAAAAAGATATACCCTATAAAAAAATATTACACACTACATAGTAAGTACATTTTAAAAAAAAAGATTGAGGTCTCTGACTGTAATTTTCTAAATGCTTCATGTGAAGCATTAACCTCAAAAAAGAAAAATAACACAAAATTAATTAATAGAAAAACAATCACAACCTTATTTTTAGTTATTTGAGTGGTTGATTAAACATGTGTTTGATCCTAAATTTTGTAACAATATCAACCTTATTAATCAACAAATCATAACTAAAAATAAGGTTGAGATTGTTTTTCTATTAATTAATTTTGTGCTATTTTTTCTATACCGAGGTTAATGCTTCCCATAAATCTTTTAGAAAATTACGGTCATTAATTTGGGGAAAAGCTTACTTGAGCTAGTTATCATTTTCAAGCTTCTAAACACTTGATCAATGGTATGTTTTTCTCTCTAGTTCTCTTCGCTACTTGTTTACAACCACAAGCATGATTTTGTTTGGGATTAAGAATATTTTATTTTGTGTCTCAAGTTTTTTTTTTTTAAAAAGGAAATTTATACCACTAGATAGTGTGGTTTAGTGACTTTTAATTAATAATAAACATAAAAATTTCTCAATAGAAATAAGTACAAGCAAGAGAGGCTAGAACTTACCTAACCTATCCTAATGAGGTACCTAACCTCTACTACTTCCTTTTACAAATGTATGAACTAAAAAAAAGATAGATTGACCTTCTAAAGTTTAATAATTTTTCTATATTAATCATGATAAAAATTAGTATTGTTTGATACAATTGATTCAGATAAGTATTTAACCTCCTCTTAAGTAATCATGAACACAATATATATATATATATATATATAAGCCTATATGTTGAACTTGAAAGTGGCTTTGAATATTATACTCACTATGTACTTGTTATCACCTGCCAACATAGTTACTGGTTATTGCCTTGACCCCTTAGACAAATAAGAAGAAATTACCTAGTAATTTTTAGAAAAGAAATTCGCTTGAAAATACTTAAC